CTTTATGATACTCACTAGAGAGTAATCATACATGGTAAATGAAACTTTGGGTAGGACAAATTAAGATCTGTTGTTGGGCCAAGAGGTGGTATAGAGGTTAGGGCACTGATACCACTTGGCTGACTCTGACAGAGTCTTGGAACTGGTGGCTTGAAAATCACCCTGGGTACATGTGTGCCCAAAATCCCAAGAAGAGAATGGAGGAGAAGGGGTTGTGGTGTGGCCACAGCCTGTGGGGATGACTTCTCACTTTATCTCTGGCAAGCACACATGCCTTACAGCAAGAGGCTAAAGGAAAAAAAAAATCCATTGGAACCCGGAGATGAAGAATTTTATACATATATGGATTTTGAACATCCATTAAAGTCTTTTTAAAAAAAATTTATTTATTCATTCATTTATTTTTAATTTGACCAGAGAGAGACACACAGAGAAAAAGAGAGAGAGGGAAAGTGAGAAAGCAAGCCACCGAGTCCGGGACTTGAACCATGGTCAGTCATGTGGGAGTGTCCAGCTCCTTAACCACCACACCACCTGCTGGTCCCCTATCCATTAGAGTCTTAAGATTATCTAGGTTTAGTCTTGTTAATTATATTTCTCCTCACTTTTATAGGTAGAAAAATCAGTGGTGAAAAATGAGTTTTGAAGCATTAAATCCTAGCCTACCTCTCAAGGCTACATTTATGTCCAATAGTTGACACATCAATTGCTTAGAATAGTTCTGTAAATGGAATTCACACATAGGATCTCAGAATCTCTGCTTCACAAGACATGGTTTCAGAGTTGGTAGATATATAAAAGATAATCAATCCCTAAACCTGGAGGTATTCATAAAGGAAGAGTAGGAGTCTGTTTTTGCCACGAGTGGATGAGTCCTGCTGGCTGGGGAGAAGGAAAAACTGACCTGAGCAGGACCACGCTCTACACAGCTGTCCCTGGCATTCCTCCACCTGTTAGCAGTCAGTATTGATTTCATGGGTCACATTGAAGCATGCAAGTGTATTAAATAATTTTTTAAAAACAACTGCTGACTGCTTTTGGTCTATGGGAGAAGAAAAATTAGAAACTGTTCTTTCCCTGTCAACCACCATTCCTAGTAACAAGGAAAGAGAATGTAGGAATAAATAAAACTCCTACATCATACTAGAAAAGAGAACAGTTGAATGCCCTAAAGAACTGTATTCTGCCATCAGACAACTAAAGAACATATTTCCAAATATAAATGGCTGTTAGCATCATAATATAAGTAGAAAAAAACTTCCCCACTTCTTTAAAAGAGCAACTGGAAACGCTTCTTTTTTTTTAAATATAGTAACTAGGGCCAGCTAGTGGCATGGGGGTTAAGGCAGATAGGTCCCACATGGTTGACTGCGTAGTTTGAGTCCTAAACCCGGGGGCTTGAAATTGTGCCAGGCAGGTGTGCATGTGTGCCCAAAATCCTAACAGGAGGGAGAAATTGAAGAGAAGGGGTTGTGTCTTGAATATCTCCATGGGGGAGGGCGTTTCCTCTTTCCCGCTCTTTCTGTATCTCTCCTTCTCTCCCATGACCTCTGGTAACACTTTTTTTTTTTTTAAAGAAAATAGTCATGTATTAAATCAAAAGAATTTCCATCATAGTCCCACTGTAGTCTTTTATAGCCAAAGTTATGAAGGAAATTGAGGTACAGTGACAATGTGGTTGTATTTCAAGATCTGGATTTCCAAGGCGGCAAAGGGAAGTGGGAGGAGCCGGTCTGGGGTGTACCTGGGCATTTGGAAGGCAGTGGGCCATTCCAGCGCCATCCCCTGCCTCAGCTGGTCTCACTGACTGCTGCTGCTCTACAAGCTGTAATGATAGACAGTGGTCGAGTAGTTTATAAAAAAATAAACTATTAAAAAAACAAATTTTCTTCTTCCTACACACATACACACGTATTAGATTTTTCTTTTCTGTTTGATAGTCCTATTTAAACTCTTCTAGCTTGAATGTAAATATGTGTGTGTATAAAAATGTATGTATATTTTAATTGACCTCTTAGTAGAGCTTTAATGTAAATCGAAATAGAGAAATAGAAACCTTTTCCCTGGGGTGGGGGTGGGGCACATAGTGTTGAATTCTGCTTTCTTTGCATCTCTCTACATCCAAACTACCAAGTATGTGTCATTTTACTGTTGATAGCTTTCTCACCCCAGCCCCATTGCCACGACTTTAAATGAAGCAGATTTTCTCTTTTGGATGATGGCAACACTCTCTCTTCAAATCCCAATCTACCCTTCATATCCATCTGTGAATCTTTCTTCCCTCAATTCCTTGGTTGATTTTTATTAAATTCAGGTTCCTTAAGCATGGCGAACGGGCCTGGGTCCACGAGCTGCTCTCTGCCTCGTTTCCTCCCTCTTTCCTTATACACCAAGATTCAACTTACCAATAGTTCTCTGATACTCCCCTCCATATAGAGCCACATACTTGCACACCTCTATCCTCACTTGTTCCCAGTAGAACTCCCCAAGGCATGCAGCCTACATCGCGCTCCTGAAAGACTTGAAACAATCTAACACAGAAACCATCTTTGAATTTCTAATTCCTCGCTGGGGCTGAACATAGTTGCCGTGAGCACAGATTGCTATTGTGTTAGGGCAGTGTAGGTATCTTAACATGGCATTTGTAGCTAAAGCTCCGTGTGCTCCCAGATCCCCCTCTAGGACTAAAGGATTATTTCCCAACAGCTGAAGTCTTGCTACCAGACTGTCCTCTTCAGGAATTTCCCAATTCAGGGCAACTCTGGGCCTTCCCCAGTTCCCCATGGTGTCAGCTGCAGTCTTGAGATTGTATCCAAGTCCAGCTTTTCCCTCTGCTGTCCCTGCCCTTCCCTGGGTGTTTTTATCTTAGGAACATTCCCTAATAAACTCCCTGTAAGGAAACTCTCAGTTGGCTTGCTGGGGCACCCAACCAGTAATAACATGTTTGTCTTTCTTTTGTTTATTACTTCTGGCACTGCCAACAGGATCTTCACATTGTGATCCATGCTCATCCAGCCTGGATCACAAGCATGTGCACACTGTTGAGCACAGGGAGGGCTCATGACACAGATCTGGGACCTTCCCATGTGGGCCCAGCATTGCACAGTGCTGCATCGCTGCCTGTCTGTTTCCTGTGTTTGTCTTATTGGTACTTTTCTCTTAGTTCTAGATCGTGGGAAGTTATGGTTAGCTAACATCCTACTAATGCAAGACCATTTCATCAAACACATATTGAGCACCTGCTCTGTGCCCAGCATTGTACCAGATGCCATGAGAACAAATGAAAACTTGGCCCCTGGAAGGAGTTTACAGTCTAACTGAGGTGACGGTTACATATTCACCTAACTATACCAGAGTATCTTTTTTATTTTTTAAAAGAGATTTTTGCTATAGGGTACATGTGCTCACCAGAGAGAGACAGAGAGACAGAAGGCAAGAAATCACCCCCCCCTGGGGGGTGGGATGGCCACGCCATAGTCCCTTCTCCTCCATTCTCCTCTCAGGATCTTGGGCACACATGCCCATGTGCCTGGAGTGTTAAACCATCGTGTCTGGGACTCTAACTGTGGTTGACTACGTGGTAGTCCAGCGACATAGCCATTACACCATCTGCTGGTCTCAATACTGGAGCATCTTCAGGATAATCTTTTTGAAGTAAACTTAAGTTTAGTATTGAGGTCAAAGGTATGAACTATACGTGTGGTTTTGCAAAGAAAAAAATGAAAATATTTCAAAGGAAGGAAATGAATATAAATAAGTAACTTGAAATTTTAGAAAGTTATATAATTTGTCTTTATAATTCTAGACACATTTAGGGGGAAAGTAGTTTTCTTTTCATTTTTTATTCTGAAATAATTTCAAATTTACAGAAAAGTCACAAGAATAATACTGAACACTTTTTAAGGCAGATCTGTCCATTTTTAACATTTCCTTTCATCCTCTTTATATAAACGTACTTGCATTCATACACACAAGTGTACCATCTGCATCATCTGCGAATAAATACATCATACCACTTTACTCCTTACTATTTTAGTAGATTTCCTAAAACTGTTCAACCTCCATAATCACAATACAGGTATCAAATATTGGAAAAAGGAAATGTGACCTTGATTCACATGCTAATCATACCAAAAATGAGTTTTAAGAAGAGTCACATAGGTTAACATTTATAATTGAAACTAAAGAGTGTGTGAAGTAAGCCACAGCAGACCTTCGAAGTCCGCTAACTAGAATAAAATGTATACCGCAGTGAAGAGACCCACTTCTGATTGTGTAAGGGCAGAGCAAGCCTGGGTGGACCCAGGTGAAGAGAGCCTTCGTCTGGACAGCCATTAGAACAGAGCGTCCGTTCTGCATCCGGGCTGGAGGAGCTCATGGAGCTTCCCTGTACAGTGAACGGACTCGTTGTCGTCATGTTTTCACGTTGCTTATTAACACGTTTATTTGGAGTTGTCCTTCATGTTCAGGTGTACTGCTAGCCAGAAAGGGAGGCCGGGGAGGGATGGCTCTAGCAAGTGGACACAGTGGGTTCCCCCATTGCGTGGCCCATGCTCCAGCTCCACGCTCCGGCCCTGCAGGGCCGGGACAGCAGGGGCCGAGGGCGTCGTCTGGGGGGCGTGGCTTAGTGCTGGTGGCCAGCGGCTTCCGGTCCTGCCGCGTGGGTTGCAGAGCGCCTGCATGTCATTTCCGGTGAGGTCTGTTGGGAGTTGTTGGTGGCAGTGGCGGGGGGGGGGGGGGGGGG